GGCAAACGAGATAGCTTCCCTGATCATCGATGGAGGTCGGAACTCTGGATTCTTTCTCTCATTTGAGTGAAACATGATACTCCAAGCATGGCTCTTTCAATTCCTCTTTGGGAGACCCGAATAGTGTTCTCATCCTGTTTTTGTAGGGCCCAGGTCTCTGAGGTGTATGTTATTGCAGGAAGAACAGTGGAATCAAAGAGATGTGTCCAGAGCTGGGGGTTCTTCGCCTTCTTAGCTATTTATTCAAAGCTCTTGAAGGCATTCCAAGCTGCTCTCCTCCTCCTGTGCAACGCAGGTGCCAGGTCATTCGTCATGTTGACTTCTCGACCTAGGTACACATAACTGTTGCATTCAGAGATGTTCATAACATTGAGAGTGAATGGAGCGTCAGGAATGAGACCGTTTCTCATAAACATTGTCTTCGTGAGATTCAGCTGTAGTCCAACCTTTCCACACTCACGGTGGAAGTTGGCCAGCATTTGTGCCGCTTTGCTAATGTTTGGTGTTATTAGAATGATGTCATCAGCAAAGCGGAGGTGGTGTAGTTGCTGACAGTCTATCTTCACTCCTATTCCTTCCCATTCTAGTCGTCGCATGATATTCTTGAGGGTGGCACTGAAGAGTTTCGGTTAAATGGTATCACCCTGCCGAACCCCTCTCTTGACGTCAATGATCACCTCCCTGTATAATGGTGAGATCCTGGTAGTGAATCCGCAATACAGCTCATGAAGGACCCTGATGTATTGAGTTTGAATGCCCTGTTTTGTTAGGGCTTCGATGACCGCTTCCATCTCAACAGAATCAAAGGCCTTTAAATCAAAGAACGTTAGACAGAGTGGCATCTTGAACTCCAGAGAAACTTCAATGAGCTTGATTATTGTGTGGATATGGTCGATCGTGCTGAATCCTTTGTGGAACCTGGCTTGCTCGCACGGTTGTCCTTTATCTAGTGTTCTGCCAATCCTATTCAGGATGACTCAAATGAACAGCTTGTAGACGACAGACAACAGGCAGATGGGGCGATAGTTGCCAATGTTGTGGATGTCTGCCTTCTTGTACAGTAGTACAGTCCTGCTGGTTTTCCATTGGGATGGAAACTTGCATTCAGACAGGTAGCGTGTGAAGAGCTGAGTCAGTGTATTGATGAGTACTGATGGCAGGTTCTTCAGGTGTTCGGGTCTGACCTTGTATGGGCTGGGTGCTGTTCGCTTCTTTACCAAGGAAATGGTGTGTTGGATTACGAAAGGGAGAACCTTGGGAACGACATATCCATCCTGCAGAATTTGGTATGTGGGCAGGTGGACGTGGCTATCAAAGAGATCTGAGTAGAAGTCATGGATAATCTTCTCCATTGCCCTTCTGGAAGATGTCATAGATCCATCAGGATTTCGGAGTGCAGTCATCTTGGTCTCGTTATTGGTGAAGGACAGGCGGGCATTGTGAATGCTTTTCCTGGCTTCCGCTGCATCTGCCAGCAATGCTGCTCTTCTCTCTTTGAGGTCTTCCTTTATTGCTTCTCTGCACTGCTTTGTGAGTTCGGATGTTTGCTTGCGGTTGCCTGAGGCTTGCACCAAGTCACATTGGCGAGTAAGCTCAAGAGTTTTCGAAGACACGCGTTTTTTTGTGGCTCTCTCTCGGTGTTCCTCGCACAAACATGGAGGTGCTGAACCAGTTGATCGTATTCCTCGTCAATGTTGTCAATGACAGGATCTTCCCATGAGCCAAAGAGCAACAGTGCCAAAGAGCTCACAGTCCATGGTCATTCTGGGAGTTCTCTTCTTAAACGTTGCAGCCCTTTCTCCCCTTTCTGTGAAGTAGACTTTTTCATGAAGGAGACGGTGGTCTGATCGCATTTGAAATTTTGGGACAACAGTGACATCTGTCAGGCAAAACCATCGATTGAATTTTGTTGTGGAGATGCCCATGTCCAACGCTTAGATTTGGCCTTCTGGAACTGTTGAGTTACCATGGATGGTCCAGGATGACATGATGAATTCAAGATGGTCACTCACCCTGTTCGTTCCATTCTAGGCCATGTTCCATTCCCGATGTGGAGTTCTTTGGCTGATCTTCTTGAGAAGATCAGCCGAAGAATCACCAAAGGATGCTAAATCTACCATAAGCAGGTCTGAGGGGAAAAGAATCATCCTTAAGTCTCAATATATCTCCTCACAAAGTATCCTGATTGCAAAAGGGAAAATAGGAACTCCAGAGGAGGGATAATGGACATCTTAAGATTTCACGTCATCAATAAAGACAAATAATGGATTTTCTCTGAGTCTAGATGAGACAGTAGGACGGAACATCACTGTGTATTAGCCCCTACTGCATAAAATACCTACTTCAAAATGAAGGATGTTCTTTTTCTGCTTTGTCCTGTATTCCTTAAATATATGAATACTTCCAGACAAAAGAAAGGTCAAGGAACTGTTTCAATGAGGAATATGCTCCTGGCTACTCCACTGACAAAATTTACCAAGGACACACATGAAATTGCAACAGGAAAGGTGATCATGTGCAATAATTAATTAATTAGTAATGATACATCCCTGGAACCTATATGATGTTCCAATCCAGTGCAACATCATTGAGAAATAAAAGCAAGGGCAATAAAAATGAGGGAGAATTTAGGTGGAAAGACTAGGTGAAAGTATTGAATGCTCAATTAATAAATTTGACACTTGTACTGTGAATGTGGTTCTGAATAACAAATGATGTAGTAAAGAACAGAAGCGAAGAGGCCGGAGCAATAGTGCAGCAGGCAGGGTGCTTGTCTTGCTCATGGCTGACCTGGGTTTTATCCCTGGGACCTAGAGCTCACCAGGGGTGAGCCCTGAGCAACAGAAATCTCAGTGTCTGCAACACAGTCTCAAATGGGTCAAAGGGTGCAGAAAGGGAATGTGGTAGAACAAGTACAAGGAACAATAAAGACAGATGTTGAAGTGCAAAAAGATGTCTGTATTTCTTAAAATTCTCAGAACAGGTACATAGATGTGCAGTTAGTATTTACAGTTAGTATTCTTCGGCTCCCCCAGGTAAAGTATTAGGTGGCTGACAACTACAAACAGTCTCTCTCCACCTAAGTTCCACGCCACAGTTCTAAAAGCTTCAGTTTCCTACAAACACAAAGAAGGCTGCACATGTAATTCTTATACACTTGACAGCTCTATTTTCTATGATCCATATATAGGAGTGCTCTATTAGTATTTGCTCATATAGATATTCAAGTGCAGTCTGAGAGTCTATATTTTTCTTTTTTACTTTGATTACATTCAAGTTTTCGACAGAAGACCACTATTATTATTTGAAATTTCCCCCCCAACAATCAGACCTGCTGAAAAGGCATCATTAGATAATTTTTTTCTATTGCTGATAATGAAGAACATTTGATGTCGTGGCCACAAGATTCTGGATCTCTGGTATTTTAGTAATTAAGTCCAGAGGGATTTCTGCCAGAAGCTGCTGGGTTCCAAGATTGGCCCGTGTGCTTGTAGGATCACGGCCTTTCAAGAGCCAGAGGAGTTATTCGTGGGCGGCAACTTGGGGTCTCGTCTGGGCAGGGGGAAGGGCCGGTTGCGCCCCCCCTCCCCTATCCCGAGAGGCCCCACATGCCCTGTAACTGCAAGCCCATACCTCTCTGGCTCAGCTCTGAGAGATGGTGGTCACCATGCTGCAGCCGAAGAAGAAAAGGCTGAGGGACAAATACCCTTCCCCTCCTGGAGCAGCACAGGGCCATAGCTTAGTTCACAGTTCAGAAGCATTTCTGCCAGAAGCCGCTGGGTTCCGAAATTGGTTTGTGTTGAGTCTATTTTTTCATGTTTGTTTTGGGGACGTAGCCAGCAGCACTGAGGGTCTACTCTTGGCTCAGTGCTTGAGGTCCCTTCCAGCATAGGGACCAAACCTGGGCTCCTGCTTGCAAAGCGCATGCTCTAGTCTATTGTGCTATCTTGCCAAACACAATCTGAAATTCTGAAAAGTTTATCCTTTATTACTTTTACATTTATTTGGATAAAAGCTAACTCTGGCCTTAATTTCGTCTTAATGGATTCTTTTAAGTTCATGTTTGCTTTGGGAGCTTCCTTTAGGTACAAATCCTAGCTAATGTCTATGAAATGTACATTTTCCAAAGTTGGACAAATCAACTTCTAGTGGATCTGGACCACTCTTTATCTAAGTTCTTTATTAGCCCCTTAAGTTACTGGGGGGTGGGGGAGGCACGTCTGGGCCAGCAGTGCTCAGGGCTTACTCCTTGGTTCTGTGTTTGGGGATCTCTCCTTGTGCTCAGGGGACCAAATGCAGTGATGGGGATCGAACTAAGGGTCTATGGCAAGGTCCTTAACCTCTGTACTATCTCTCCAGGCCCTTAGGTTGATTTGAATTGGAAAAAATAGCACTGCACTGCACTGTCTTCCCGTTGTTTATTGATTTGCTCAAGCAGGCCCAGTAACATTTCCATTGTGAGACCTGTTGATACTGTGTTTGGCATATCGAATACATCACGGGTAGCTTGCCAGGCTTTGCCGTGCAGGCGAGATATTCTTGGTAGCCTGCCGGGCTCTCTGAGAGGGGCGGAGGAATCGAACTCGGCTCAGCTGGGCCAGCGGCTTGCAGGGCAACCGCCCTACTGCTGTGTTATTGCTCCAGCCTTCGAAAAAATAAAAAGTCCCAAATTGATTTACACATGAGAAAATGCTTCCTGTCCTCAGAGCTATTGCTATTACATTTTGCATTATTTTTGTCATCTTTCTGTAATAAGGTATCCTAGAAAAACACTTAAAAAACCTTCAGATAAAGTTAAAACGTTAAAAACTTTCTATAACAATTTAGGACAAATATGAGTACAGAATACCAAGCAGACCATATTGTCCATTCTATTACTGTGATACATACACAAGACTGCACTTGGTAATACAAATACTTTTTTTTGTTTTCCAAAATAGGTTTTAAAGGCCTAAGTTCTAAATCCCCAAAGGCAAGAAAGGAACAATCTTAGTTTGAAACATTAAATTTAGTTTATTATATATTTGAAAAAGTCAAAGTATTTGTCTTATTTATATATTTATTTCTTTATGGGGAGGAAAGGGAGGAGGAGGGAAAATGAAAGTTTAGGTTCTATTTAAAAGAGCTTTTCCAGAGAGTGGTGATAAGTTTTCATTACGCATCGTCGTGGAAGAACACTGTCCTCCTAGTTATCAAGAAACTTTGAATTTAACGTAATACAGATCATGTGTTTTTCTAAAATCCAGTGCATTTATTTGGGTATCCGTTGTGTTCTTGTTGATACCCATATGAAAGGTACTGACATTCTGGTTTCAAGAACAAATCTTAAAGGCCAATTAATATAGCATGTGTTTCATTGGGTCCAAGGTAATTACTGTGAAACCACTGGACAATAATGGTCTCAAATATTTAAATACCTTGTAAAACTACAACTAATCCAGCCACTACTGATTCGCAGGACTACTTAACCAACAAAGGCTAAGGATAAATTATAAATCTAAATGCCAAATCCAAAGCAAAATTTCAATAATATCCTGACTTTTGCATTAGCTATAGAGAAGACAAAAACTATATGAATAATGTTAAATAAAAAGTGCATACAGAACTGACAACATTTCCTTTTGTTAAATTTGCCACTCTTTCCAATCCAATAAAATACTTTTGAGGGAAAATGATGACCAATCAAGTACCCTGGAAAAACATAATTGTCATAAAGTGTTTTCTTTTGTAACTTGGGCATCTAAGTTATTTTCACAATTCAAAGCAAAAAATCATACAGAAAGCCAGGAGCGTCATCAGTACCACTAAACAGATGTTTGCTTGTAGTTTTTGGTATCCAAAACTTTTTTCCCACACATCGCACAGATGCCTAAAACAAAAGAAAACGTGAACAGTCAACTTAATACCAACAGTAACATCAAACATCTAATACCAATGACTTGGTCTATTTAAGCCACCCCTGAAATTGAACTTAATTTAAGACCAGAACACACATACATACATACAAATACTTTTTACTACGAACAAATTCTAAGTTATAATAAATCTTATGTTAAAAAAAAAAGGCCTTTGACTGTAGAATTTATAAAAAGCTAGCCCTTCCCCAAATCATTTAAATCAGTGCGGACTGAGGTATACTTGACACGAGCGGGGAAATGGGATGAACTTACCCTTCTTGTAGGCACAGCCCTGGCAGTAGTGAGAGCCAGGCTGGTGAACAGAACTTTTGCATATTCTGCAAGTGGAGAACTTGTTCTTTCCATATGGATCAAACCTAGATTTTTTTTTAGAAGGGGGGAAAAAAGGTTTTGAACAACAGAAACTCTTAAAAGAACCTCACTAAAGCAAATGAGCTTGACCCATGCTCCCCATTCCTTCTGTCAAACTCGACAACAGAGAGGCTTGGCCCTCTTTAGCTGACTACTCTCTGAAATGCCTGCCCACTCACAGCCATCTGAGCAAGCTGCATGCTGCCACAGAAGGTTCTACTTAATCGCAAACCTAGTTATTGCACACACATCCTGGTTATGATTAGAAAAATGAAACATTCTTTTGTCAGCATACTCAGCTGCAAAAGGTCTTATCTCAACATGAATGACTGATCAGTATGTAATGATGTATTTATTACAGTAGCAGATTCAACACAATGTCCTGTCCAAAGAGAGAATTTAGAATACTTAATTAATACTTAAGAGTATAAAGTAGCCAGATCTAACAAAAACTATGCAATCTAAATATAACAATGCTCAATAATCAAATGGTCGTAAAAGGGATCATCAGTAAGTTAGTGTGATACACTGCAGTGAAGACTAAGTCTGTCAAATTGTTTTAGGGTTGTTTTATGGTTTGGGGGCCACACTCAGTGGTGCTGAGCTCTGCGAGGGGCTGAACGGGGGAGTGGGGCATGTGCAAGGCAAGCACCTTCCTCCCTGCTGTCTTTTCTGGCTGTGTTGATTTTATGCCCATATTTGCTGAGCACCTTTATGCATGTGCAAGGCACCATATGAAGTAAAAGATCTGTCTTCACTTCTAAGCCTACGGACGATGTCAAGAAACAGGTATTTATGCATTCAACTTAGTGCCTGTGACTTGTCCTAAACAACAAAGAGGAATCTGATGACAATGAGCTGCCCTGACGAAGCTGACTTTATGGTGAAAGGAGATGGGAAATAAACATGTTTGAAAAGAAATGTTTCTCCAACAGTAGGTGAGGTTGACAATAGACATGCGTGCGGAAGCTGACTAGCGGCTCCGAAGGACGGGCTTTCTGCTGAGGCGACAGTATGGAGGAGGAGTCAGCTACACAGGCTGAGCAGGGCCTGAGTGTCTCCCCACAGGAGTGGGGCTGGCCAATCTGACGCAGGAGCGGGGAGGGCAGGAAGTCACAGAGGTGAAAGGGCCGGATCCTGGAGGACCTTGGAAGAACATGGTGGTGGGCTTTACATTTTATGCGAGAAAGAAAACCAACTGAGGGCTTGGAGCAAAGGAGCTATACGCTCTTTAAATAAGGAACCACTATGGTCACCACGAGACTGAACCCAGGGAAAACAGAGAGGAAGCAGGAAGGTAGAAACGCATTGCTGTGGCTTAGGAAGAAATACCGGGAGTCTGGAAGAGGGTCACAGCAGTGACACAAATGGAAGCAGGCACACAGGCAAGTTCTACTTTGGGGGAAGATGAGGATTTTGCTGACAGATACAGGATGTGAGGGAATGGGAGGAATCGAGGAATTGTAGCTGACAGAGCACAACTGCACTGGACAGAGGTGCACTAAGGCAAAAGACTATCAACGTGCGTCAGTCCACGCGGGTGTGTGTCTGAGGCTCAGGGGGCGTGAGCACTGAAGATGAACACCTGGGAAACACTGACGTAACAGTCTGAATTTCAGGCCATTGGATTAAAGTCAGTGGAGAAGAAATGATAAATTTATGTGAGAAAAATAAATATAGGACTAGTCCAAGTCCAGAGGAGCTCAGTAGACAAGGAATAGTCAATGAGCTGGGAGGAAAGAAGAAAGTAAGAAAAAAGAAAGAAAGATAGAAAGAAAGAAAATGAAATTAAAGGGCACTGAAAATGTACTAGATAGGCAGCTCTGTGTGTGTGTGTGTGTGTGTGTGTGTGTGTGTGTGTGTCTGTGTGTGAGAAAAGGCCAGAAGCCTGGAAATAAGGGTTGTAAAAGAGATGATGAAAGGTTTAAGAACTGAGAAGTAAGCAGCTCATGATCAATTTTAAGTCACGTGTGACCTTTACAATTAGTTTCAGGACATGGTGGGAATGAAAGCCTGACTGGTGCGGCTGGAGAAGAGAAGGGAGTGGAGGGGGACCAGAAAGTCCCCATGGCAAAGTCCCTGCCCTGACGACTGAGGATGACAGCTGGAGCTCTCGCACTGTCTGACACATGCTGTTATCCCAGAGACACTGGTGTGTGGAATTCCTGATGCCTCGACTAAATGCACAGGATCTGGCAAGCACTGTGACCAACAGCGTGGGAGCACCACCGTCAGGCATGTGGTCCCTAAGGAGCCCTGTGACCAAAACGTGCAGACGCACAACTGAAGACGCAATGGCCAGTGAGAACATGGGCAGCAACCAAAGCCCCAGGAGAACACACAACTGTGTGTGCGTGTGTGTGTGCATGTGCGTGTGCATGCGTGTCAAAAGGCTGGAGAATAAAAAAGAAAGAAAATGAAACTAAAGGGCACCAAAAACGTACCTAGATAGGATTTAAAAAACTTACTGTAAACAGAACAAGGAAATAGGGGAGCAAGTAGTAGGGTTTGTGGAATTTTTTAGATTAAGATACAATTGAGCATGGTATCAAAGCCTGATACTAAAACACGGAGGCCAGTGCTGTGACGTGCTAACTAACCCACGTCCAAGTGTGAGCTGGCAGTGCCACCAGAAGGCGGGAGACAGTTTTACAGTCATTTTCAGAGGGTAAAAAACAAGCCAGAAAGTTTAGAAATGGATTTAATTTGATGAAGGCCACAAAGGTAGGTAGAAACAGAGGAAAATTCAAATTGAGGTCTGACTCCAGGGCTTATGGTCGTCCTACATTTCTCTGTTGCCCCTGGTTTGCAGGATAATTAAGAACAAGCAAAAACAGAATCCATGTATTCTGGTGAAGTTATAAAAAAGATAAGAGCACTGGTTTCTTTGGATACTGATTCAGTGAGGAGGAAGAAAGCAAAAGCAGCAGATGGTAACAGACAGGCACTACTTGAGTCTTACTTCATCAAAGAGAACAGTACCACCCAATTCACTCCAGTAGGTTCAATATTACGGAAGACTGGGAATTCACAGGGCAGCTCTATGGATGGCCCCTCCCCCAAGCCCCACCTACCTTGCTTTTTTTGAAGTCAAAGCTTTATTTTCGTTCAGCTTTCTTCCACCACTTTCTGTATTGAAACACACACATTTTAGGGGCTTGTTGCAAGGGGGCTGGGGGTTGTTAGCTAAACATTTCTCATATAACATAGCACTGTAGCACCATATAACATATGCATATACATGTAACAATCAGCCTGCAAGTTCACTTTGTGTCTTCCAATCAACAGACTAAGTTTACATAAAAATTTTCAAAAACCCTTATTTAATGTCCAGGTTCTTAAGACACTCAAGAAAAATCAGCCCATATTTATTAGGAACATTTAAATTTGCAAAAATATGCATTGTGGTATTACTCAGATTCAAAATAATTACTTCCTACAATTAACTACTATAAATTCTAGGAGATAAAATTTAGCAGCCTGCACCACTTGCTCCCGGGGACAAGATATGTGAGAATCTTTGCACGAGACAAAAGGAGTAAGTGTACGAATTCGCCCGCACTGAGGAACAGGACAAAAGCCGCAGGGACCCCAAGCACATAAAATCACTCTAATCTCCCAGATGAGGATTTCATAGTTAAAACAATTAGGCTGTTGACTGAACCAGAGAAAACAACAGAGAGCTTCAAAAAATTAAAGTATAAGAAAACTTTTATCAGAAATCTCCGGTCTGAAAGGCATAATAGAACTAAAACCAAACCAAACCCAACCCAACAGAGAAAGAGAGACGGAGAGGAGCAAATCAGCATGCCAGAAGATGAGCTGCAGCATCCAGAAAGAAAAGGAGGGGGAAAAAAAAAGAAAAATGAATACAGCATCAGACATCTGTTGTCCTCTCCAGGGACAACCTGGAGAGAAATAACATCTGAATTTAGGGCCCCAGAAGGAAAGGAGAAACTGGGCAAGTAGTTCTGGTGAGAAAAATTACACTGAAACGTTCCAAATTTGTAGATAAGACAGATATCCAGCTCTAGGAAGCTATTCTGCCAGAATAATTCCAAACCAAAAAACACCAAGAGAAATGGTAATTAAAATGGCAAGAGCCAAAGATACATAAACTATTATTAGGGCAGCAAGAACACACCTGAACATTACTATAAGGGAACCCCCATAAAAATCAGAGTCGCTGATTTTATTTTTCAAATTTTATCTCAAATAAAATTCTACAAGAATTTTATGCATTTTTCTCTAAAGGGAAACATACCTGTGGTATTCCTAGCACCATCCTTCCAAGTGTCTGGAGTGATGACTCTACCAAGTTTCTTTTCACCTGTAACAAAAAAGATGGAAAAATTAAACCCACCACATCGTGTCGAAGGTTCAAAATTACATGAGTATCAAAGGAGAAGAGAAACCAGCTAATTCGGAGGTCAGGGCTAGTGAACCTGAAATTTTAACTGTGGCAAACAGTAATAGGATAATAGCACGCATAACTGACTAGAAGTAAAACTTATATATGGTTTGTGACTGCTTCCAACATACATGCATATTTTAAACAAATCTGACAAAACTATTCATTTCTTATTTGCTATGCTTCTATGGTGTATAAGCCTCTATAAAAATGCAAGAAAAAAGAAAAATCAGATGAAGGTTCTAGATTTCAAGGATCTTATAAGTATACTGAGATCTCTAAATGTAGTCCCCACAAGGTTTCATGGGTGAGTGCTGGAAGTTATCTGACTGGAAGCTGTAATTTATCCATACTGTTTTTGTACAGCCTGTTTTTCATCTGATTCTGGGGAAGGGCTCAGAGAAATTCACATCCCCCCAATTATTTTTCAAGAACCATTTAACTAAAATAGGTACTTGAATTTATAAACTTCTGTTGACAAAGGCAACAGTTTAGTCATGTGGCAGTGACACTGTGAAGAAAGAGGATAAAGGCAAAGTGGATAAAGCACATATCCTAATTAAAAAAAAAAGGCATATACTCCTCAAATAACCCTGAGGTTATTTCAAGTTACTCAGGTCATTCCAAGTAAAGATTCAATTTGATCCTTTGCCAGATCAATAATACACCAGTACTATACTCAATTTAGACACTGGTGGTGCTTACTCTCAGCCATGTCCTGGCATAGTGACGATAGTAAGGCAAGGTCCTTATCACTGGTCCTGATGTCTAGCTCTCTGTAAGAATACAATACTTTTTCCATGAATAAAATCGCAAGACGGAAGGTCTGGGTTTAATTGAGCAGTTTTATCTGCAAGAATTGATTAAAGATTCCAATAGAGATAAAAGAAAAGCAGCAACATAGGTTTTGGGAGCCCAGGATGTAGCCCTTGTCTGGCACTTTATCGGGGGGAGGGTAGGGGGCACACCTGGCAATGCGCAGGGGTTACCCCTGGCTCTGACTCAGCGATGACTCATTACTCCTGGCGGTGCCCAGGGAACCATATGGGATGCCGGGGATTGAAAGTGGGTCAGCCGCATGCAAGGCCAACTCCCTCCCTCTGTGCTACGGCTCTGCCTCCTTCTCTGGCTTTTTGAAGCCCTAATTTGGGGGAAGGAGGAGGACCTGGAAGAAACACGAAGGAACAGTGAAAAAGACAAACGTTAGAATTTGCCTTGAAAAAAGAAAGGGAGAGATAGATGAGCATGAGCGCAGATCTGTTTATGGGTATAGTATGGAATTGATAATGTGATAACCTTTTGATAACCTTTTCCTGCACCTGTAAGAAGGTATTTTTTTCCTTCTTTTCAAGAGAGGATGAAACAGCTGAGGGTCACTGTCACTGTCCTCCCGTTATTCACTGATTTTGCTTGAGCAGGCCCAGTAACGTCTCCATTGTGAGACAGTTGTTACTGTGTTTGGCATAATGAATACATCACGGGTAGCTTGCCAGGCTTTGCTGTGCGGGCAAGATACTCTTGGTAGGTTGCTGGGCTCTCCGAGAGGAGCGGAGGTATCGAACCCGGCTCAGCTGGGCTGGCTGCACGCAAGGCAAATGCCCTACTGCTGTGCTATCGCTCCAGACCCGTAGCTGAGGGTAGGATAAGTTTAAAAAGTTATTAGACGGTTTGTTTGGAATCTATACCAATGAGGAAGAATGAGAGAGCTGATTAAAGATGATTAATTGAGATCTTGAAGATTAGAAACTATGACGTTGTAGTAGCAGTGCGGACCAATTGGTACATCTGTGCAACTTCCCTTAAGAGCCCTTACTGGCATATAAAACAGCTCAGAGGACTAACCATGGAGCAGTGAGCAAACTATTCACGAGCAGGACTTCACCAATTCTGGGTTCTCATTTTTTGGGTGAAAAAATGGGACTAAGAAATATGAATTTGCTCTCTTGTCCAATCAGTATAAGAATTCACAGGTGTGTGGTCAGTTTCAGTTCTCAGGGAAATGTCACCTAGATTACGCTAATTCAATAGTAAAGGAAGAAGAATATTGGAACCTCTAGTCTGCAAGGCACCTGTTTCTAAACAGTCTGTGGATTGTGGATTCAAAAACACAATACAAAAAAGTCATACTATTTTCTAGAAATCTTTTTTTTTTTTTTGCTTTTTGGGTCACACCCAGTGATGCACAGGGGATACTCCTGGCTCTGCACTCAGGAATTACTCCTGGTGGATGCTGGGGATCGAACCCAGGTTGGCCATGTGCAAGGCAAACGCCCTACCCGCTGTGCTATTGCTCCAGCCCCTAGAAATCTTGAGTCTGCATTGGAACTGGAATAGGGACTAAGGGGTGGGTTCTAAGAGCCTGGGAGACTAAAGACAGATAGATTGGAAGGTGAAGTGAGCCCTCACTCTGGCCTCAGTGCTCAAGGGGCTGGCAAAAAGCACTCAGGCCACTCACGGTACTAGGCTTTTGACCCAGTGAAATGGCAATGATATCAGCATGAAAAGTATAATTAGTGCTATTATAAATCCTGATGATTCAATAAAAATGGTAATGCATTTTACCATTTTTACCAATATATACAATAAAAAAATAATGAGTGAACTATGTTCTAAAAGTAAATGCTTTAGGCCAAATCTTGGCTGTGGCATATGTATACTGAAATGTGACTCACTGTTTAGCTGAAATTCAAATTTAACCACGTCTGAGGTGTTTGCTCTGCCTGGCAAATTTATTTTTGATTTTTTTTAACTTTTTAATTGAATCACTATGAGACAGACGCTTACAAAGCTGTTCACGATTAGGTTTCGGCCATACAGTATTCCCACACCCATCCCTCCACCGATGTATATTTCCCAGCGCTCGTGTGCTCTCTCTCTCTCTGTCTCCTCTCTCCCCCTCTCCCTCCCTTCCTCCCTCCTTCCCTCCCTCTCGGTCTCTCTCCCTCTCTGTTTTCCTCTCCCCCCCCCACCCCCCCCGCCTTTAGAGTATTGTGGCTTGCAATATTGTTACTGAAAGGTTACCTTTACCTACTTTGAACCCTCAGAGCCTGTCCTGGTGACTGTTCCTGCCTGACAGCTTTAAATCCACGCTTCCGGTGGGGGCAGAGACTGGGGCTTGGAGGGGGCGAGGGGGATAAACAAAAGCAGGTGCAAAAAGAGGACACTCCCCCCAAGGCAAAACACACAGGCCTGGACAGGCACCGGGCGGGGCAGGAAGGGCCAAAGGGCACGGGCGGGGGGGACAGAGGCTGGCCTCGGAGATCCGGGCCGACGGAACAGAAAGGCCAGAGCTGCAGGCGACCCCCACCCCGGCCGGCCCCGGGAACTCACACTTCTCGCACACCATCCTGGCCCGACGCAGCCCACCAGCCCGCAGAGCCCCGACGCCCAGGCAGCGCTCGTCTTCCGGCCGCCGCCGCCACTTCCGGCCTCCGGCGCGCCGCCCCGCCTCCCCGCCTCCGGGGAACCAACCAGGAGGAACCAACCTCAGAGGGAAGGCGGGGTTGCCGCCTTCGCCCGCCCCTCCGCTCCTGCGATTGGCTTTCCGGCCCTGCGGCTCCGCCCCCGCGGGCCTGCGCCTGCGTGCAGGTCGGGGCGGCGGGTCGCGCTGATGCTGTACCTGGGGACCTCCCGTCCCTGCTCCGGGCGGGAGAGTTAGGTAAGCCCCGCGCGACCGCCTTCCCTCGGGTCGCTCCCCCCGTCGTCCAGTGCATCTGCCCAGCTGGCCGCGAGCCTCTCGGCCCTCCTGGCCCACCCGTCTTCCGGCGCAGGCACCCGGCCGTGGCCCGCAGGTGCGCCCCGCCCTCCACCCGGGCATTCCGCAGACGCGTGTCTGTCCCCTTCTCGCCTCTCGGCCCCCTGTGCTCCAGGTGCTCCCCCGGCTGCACGCCGACACGGGTTCCGCGAGAACCGTGCTCCGGAGCCCGCCGGGGCCTCCCGGGCTCCTGTCCGGGACCCGTTTCCCTGCTCGCTCATTCATCCGCCCTGCAAACTCGGGAGTGGGGCTGAACCGACTCGAGTCAGGTGGGATTTCAGGGTGGCGCGGACAGACGCCCAGAGTCGGGGTGTGTGTTGTGGGAGTGGATTCCGGATCCTCCCCCCAGCCCCTCAGGCTCCCTGGGGTGCAGACGGGCCCGGGAGCAAGGGCTGCGCTCCCTCGTGCCATCCGCCTCCTTCCCTGTGCCTCGCCCGTGCCGCCGGGGGCTGGCCCAGAACGTGCCCCAGCGCCGGGCAGCTGTGGAGTTTGGACTTCTTAGCCCTCCGCGGCGAGTTTTCCTTATCAGGAAACTGTTCCCCTTTGGAAGTTCCAGTGTGAATTGTTAGGAAGCTGTTAGGAGAAGGCTTGGATCCACCCTTTTGCACCAGTGGGTGTCCTCTGTGCTCTGTGCGTGCCTGCAAAAACGTGTTAGGATTTGTTTTGTTTCGCCACAGTGTAACACGTGCACTGTTAGTTGAAATCATTACGGTTTTGGCTGAACAAGTCTGTGCCATGTATATTCTCTCAGTAATTCATAAACAGAAAATACGTATTACGTAGAAGAGGAAGTAGATTGTCTGCCTCTCTGCTTTAGCTCGATAGTAGTCTAGCACTTTGCAACAAGACATTGCCAGTTCTGGAGACCTGGGATTCCTTAGTTTAGCATAATGTACATCCTAGCCACCACTGGTGTATTCATTTGTGCACTTGGTGTCATAGGTCAATTGCTAGGAACGATTGTCTTGTTGTTTGGACACGCCATCGAGACATAAATAGATCAAATTATTCAAAATTTGAGAGTTCCTGGGTTGCACAGGTTTCTTTTCCAGCAGGGGCAGACCAGTAATCCATTCAGTTTGTTTTTAATCTGTTATTGTACTCTTCTCGGCCTTCCACACGTGTGCACACGTAGGAGTAGGAATTACCCAGTTGTTCCCACATTGGCCCTAACACATGAGCCTTTTGCAGACACAAGTATTTAAGAAACTACTAAATTTGTTCTTTGAGGGATCTGGGAACTGTGTGTTTTTCTCCTATATATGTGCGGTTTACATGCATGCATTGTCCTTGCTTCTGAAACAGACTTGTCGAAAAGTCTGAAGAAAATTGACTTTGATTCATGGCTTATTTTTGAGTGCAGTTAGGAGAATGGAAAATCATTATTGCATATGCTTTTTTTTTAATGTTTTCATTAGATAGCCACTCAAGAAAACATCATGAAAGATACTGATATCAAGAGACTACTGTATACTCATCTTTTATGCATATTTTCAATTATCCTAAGCATCTTCATTCCATCATTCTTCTTGGAGAACTTCTCAATATTGGAAACACACTTGACTTGGTTGGGCTTCTGTTCAGTTTTTGTAACTGCCGTGAATCTAGTATTATACTTAGTTGTGAAACCAAATGTGTCCTCTAAAAGAAGTTCATTGTCACACAAGGTAAGGCTTATTTCTTTATACCTCATTTTTAGATTAAGGTTACATTTCTTGTCAGCAAGAATGAAGTACTAGTCAAGAACGCATTGGTTAATTTTTAATGAGCAAAGAGAGCCTAATGCTTCTTACATTAGTAGCCTCCTTTTGCTGAAAGACTGCCTACACATTTGATAGATGCTTGCCAGGCATCTGGTTGTAAAATTTGGATGCCTTCAGTAGATACGATAGCATTGAGTCATATTTTATTTCACATTGAAGATAAATACAGGTAGCAGTAAGATCTGAAAATCCCAGTTGTCTTCATTTATTTTTGCATTTTCAAAAGGCACGATATGTTTGTTTGTCTTTAATCATAAAATTAGCCTACTTGATCAGTCTCATTTCAAACATGGTTCTCCTTGAGTAAAGTTTGCTGATATAAGACTGTATTTTCAGTAGTATTCATCACAATGTAATACTTTGATTATTAGCTTAAATTAATATATCCTCACTTAAGATTCTTTAGTACCGTGTAAAAGCTCTGATAGCTTAAAGTGCATTCGCTTCTCTGTGAGTAAAAAGTCCAGTGTGTGTTTTATAATCATTCTTACGCTCCAAATCAAGTAGTCCCCGCACTGTATTACAGGCATAAAGATCTTTTTCACGTGGTTCATAGAGTTAAATGAAGATGATTTGATGAATTATTTAGTGTGCCTATTTGTCTCACTTTCCCTGTGAGTTTTGTTTTTAAGTGAAACAAATCATTGTCATTTTTTAGCATTTTTTGATGTCTTAGTGCATACTGTGATCTTTATCTGATCTTTATCTTACTTTGAATATTTCATTAATCTCGATGAACAATACAGAGGGAGGGATATGTGTGGGAGCTACAGGCCCTTTCTGCTTCTGATTTGGGTTGGGAGGGTGAGGGAAGGGGCTTGTTTCTGCTTTAGAGGCTTTTAAAAATAGGTAGGCCCATGTCCAAGCCCACAGCACCTAACTGGACTGAATCTGTCATCTGACGTGGATGTCCCTGAACCCAGAGAATGTTCCATTGCGTCCCATATTGTGGGGTACTTGATAATTTAAATCAAGCTTTTGTTGTCCTTTACGTGTTCTCTGGAGTTTTTAAATGTTTTGTTTCTTTTTTTAGATAACCAGACTCTTGAAGTGCTGTGTCTACTTTCTTATATCTTGTTGCTTCTTTCATATTATTTTTGTTCTATATGGAGCACCACTAATAGAGTAAGTTTTAAATTGTCATGGTAAGGTAATTATAATGTAAAGCAACCTTTTGTTGCTATTGTTTTGTTTGGGGGCCTCACCCAGTGGTTCTCAGGGCTTACTCCTGGCTCTACACTCAGGGATCACTCATGGTGCGGGTATTGAACCCACATGGCTGTGAGCAGGGCAAATGCTCAAGACCCCTAAAGCATTTTTATGAAACAAAGCACTGTAGTGGGGGGGGGAGGTTAGAGAAAAGCCCTAGGTGATGAGCTTACTGCATCACAGAAGAATACTAACATTGTTTTTCTTGCTTGATGGTATTATTTGCAATAAAAAAAGTATGATTTATGATGTGTAGATTGGCTTAATTTCAGAGCTAATTACTTAATTCCATTTGTATTCTTCTACTTCCTAGACTTCTACAATTTAATTGTATATGGGGTAGGATGGAGAAGTAGATGAGAAACCATGTGTATTTATGTATATATACAGACACATAAACACATGTATAGCTATGCATTATATATATATATATTTTTTTTTTTTTGCTTTTTGGGTCACACCTGGCAATGCACAGGGGTTATTCCTGGTTCTTCACTCAGGAATCACCCCTGACAGTGCTCGGGGGACCATATGGGATGCTGGGAATTGAACCCGGGTCAGCCGCGTGCAAGGCAAACGCCCTGCCCGCTGTGCTATTGCTCCAGCCCCCGATATGCATTATATTTTTAACTGAGCTAAGAATGCACAAACTAATACGTTATTTTTTGGAGAGGGGGGAAGAAAGATCTTTGTAATGGAAAATAGTACTTTTTGTCTAATCTGATTTAGACTAGAATGAATAAGTGGGGTAATGGTTGTCGAAAGTGTAGTTCTATAACCAGCAGCATTAGCATTTTTTCCAAATGCAAATCCTTGGGCCTTAAAACAATAGGTGAACTGTACCATCCTAATTTTAGTTTACCCAGCTCTCTAAGTAGTTTTGATAAAAGCTAATGTTAAACCACTAGTTGTAGAGGAATTTCCAGAGGTGGTTGAGGAAGAAGCTCATTTTCTAGAATTGAATTTTTTTTAAATGGAGAATTTTGTTATGGATTAATCATATGGTATTATGCTGTTCAGAATGCAAAAGTAAGATTTATGCTAGATCGTATTTTATAGTTTGTATTTTGATAATAAGTATAGTCATTAGGTTGGTCGGACTCATATTACTTTCAAAGTAACACTGTCATTGTCCTCCCATTATTCATCGATTTGCTCGATGTGGGCCCAGTGACGTCTCCATTTTGAGGCTTGTTGTTACTGCGTTTGGCATATTGAATATATTACGCTTAGCTTGCCAGGCTTTGCCACGCGGGCCAGATGCTCTCGGTAACTTGCCGGGCTCTCCGAGAGGGGTGGAGGAATCGAACCCGGCTCAGCCGAGCTGGCTGTGCACAAGGCAAATGCCCTATTGCTGTGCTATCGCTAAAGTATAAGAAAATATTTTTACATTAAATCTATGGAAGTCTCAAAGATTGTGTGTGTGTGGTGTGTGTGTTTACACTTTTGGAAATTAAAAAATTTAATGAAAGATTTTTTCTTCTCAGGTTGGTGTTGGAAACATTTTTATTTGCAGTTACATTGTCTACGTTTACCACTATTCCTTGTCTGTGTTTGTTAGGCCCAAACATCAAAGCATGGCTAAGAGTTTTCAGCAGAAATGGGTAAGTTTTAATTTTATGATTTTTTGACATTTGAAATTTCATAGCATTATGCAATATTTTTCTACTCATGATGGGTTGGTGGGTTTATGGTTCCAGAGGTACCTAGAGTCCTTACTTCCTTGGGGACTAGGACCAGGGAAGGGCTGATGTACATTTGAGGAGAACTTGGGGAAGCAGAAGTGTAGGTCCCTCCTTCTGCTTTAGAAAGCTTAGCTCTGCTTTCTTGATATGGTAGAATTCTACTTTGCCTTTTGTTAGAGAAAAGGTTTCTACCATCAAGCGAAAGCTTTGAAGATCATTCCTTAAGGGAATGACTGTCACTGTGAGAAAATTAGTTTCATTCCTCTTATTTTGTAAAATGTGGATCTGTGAAAAGGCTAAATGTATCAACTGAAGTTTCTTTTTCTTTTTTAGCATATGTTGTGGTAAGACTTTGAGTGCAAGTTTCATAGGACTAAGCAGTCATCTGTGTTTTCAGCATGCTGAGTTAAACTTGTAGCTTCTTGAAAGTCACTGATGGGATTTTTATAAGTCATTAAATTGTAACTAATAAAACTAATGTAAAGCTATCGCAGCAAACACTTGAGTATTTACTACTACTCTGTACTCCACGCTGTATAAAGTTGGTGTGGATCTGAGCAGTTTGTTTGATTCTCTCCCTGAGAACTTGCATGTTTAAGGGATAAGAATGAAATGAGCAAACAGCATGAGACATAAATTATATAAACCCAACTGGTAAATGTTTAACTGCTGTAGGAACTCAGAGAAGATCCTTGAAGAGTGTGGAGCTAGAGTGGGTGATGGGTATTCGCGGGTCAGGAGTGTAAGACTGGGTGACATTGAGGGGACAGGGAAGCAAAGTGTTAAAGCATGGAAACTGGAATGAGTGTGGCATTATTGTGTGACCTTGAGGTAGACAGCCCTGGAGAACAAAGGACACATGTTAGGGCGTTGAGCTCTGTGGATTATTTTTTTCTTTTTGAAATGAGTAGTTTGTTCCCCTTCAGAATCATCTACAGAGTCATAAAGTCTTTTTTTAAATTTACTCTTTTATTTATTTTTTTTCAAATACCCATCCCTCCACCAGTGCCCATTTCCCACCACCACAGATTCCAGTATCCCTCCCACCCTCCATGCCCCCAATCCCACCCTGCCCCTATGGCAGGGCATTCCCCTTTGTTCGCTCTCTCCTTTTGGGTGTTGTAGTTTGCAAAAGAGTTAAGCCTGATTTTCAGGGAGAAATGTTGGATGATTTAATTTCATTGATCACTTTGTATATATGGAGATGTCGCGTGGCCACGTACGGAAAAAATGTCCTGGTACCCGCATGCCAGAGCTATGCTTGTAGAAGCTCATGGTCACCGGGTTTCCATCTGGAGAAGGCGGGTCAGCAGCACCTACCCCATCTGGGACCTCCTGGTGATATTGGCTCTGTTTGGGACCTGGAGCATTCTCTGGGAGCTGTGGGGCCCTCCAACCGGTTTTCTTCTTTGTTGCTGTGTGCCGGTTTTCTTCTTTGTTGCTGTGTGTTTTCTTCTTTGTTGCTGTGTCTGTGTGCCCAGAGTCATAGTCTTTATGTAAGTCAGGAACTAGGAACTTTTCTCATGTTGGTATTGTAGCATCCCAAATAGAAGTAATGTTTCAGTTTGAAAATTTTGAACACTGAGGACTGGTCAACGCCTTATGGGTTTAGTTTGGTGACTTATCGAGCTTTGAGTTTTGTTTCGGTTGATGGCATTAATGGTTTGTTTAGTGGGGAAGAGATCTGATTCTACAGCTGCTTCTTCCACAGTGCAGTGTCTATTTTCCTGTAAATCTCAGTACTGTTAGGAAGGGGATGTCAAGAAGCAAGGTGTATCGGAAAGACGAAATTATGGGATAGTGTTGAAAAACAGTCAGTAATGTACTTAAAAGACGGGCACTTAATAAATGTGGTAGAACAGTATATATGTCAAATGGTTAAGAAATATACAAATAGTCCAGGATGGGAGTAGCAGACTGAAAGTAGACTATAGACCAAACATGATTGCCACTCAGTGCCTCTTTTGCAAACCACAACACCCAAAAGAAGAGAGAGAACAAAAGGGAATACCCTGCCACAGAGGCAGGGTGGGATGGGGGGATGGGGGGTGAGAGGGATACTGAAACCCGTGGTGGTGGAAAATGGGCACTGGTGGAGGGATAGGTGTTTGATCATTGTACAGTTTGAAGCCCAAGCACAAAAATTTGTAAATCTACAACTGTACCTCATGGTGTTTCACTAATAAAAATTAAAAAAAAAAGAAATATACAAATAGGTAAATCTGGCAATTTTTCTTCTATTTCCTCCTTTATTTAAACACCATGGCTTACAAAGTTGTTCATGATGGTTTGTTACAGGTAATCATTATCCCAACCCAAATCCCACCAACACAGTCACCTTCCCTCCACCATTGTCACCATTTTCCCAAAAACCTCTCAAGCCTGCCCCCACAGCAGGCTCACAACAATATTTTATATTGTTGTTACCATTAAATGGTTAAAAGAATGATCAAAACGTTATATATATATTAGAAGAAAATTTATGAAAATTGTTGTATTTCACCTTGGGGACATTATGTCCCTCTGAAGTTTTACTACGCTTTTGTTACAAGTTAAGCCTTCTGTGTTAATGTTTATTTATTTGACATTGGTTGGCTTCTGCGTTACGTTCAATCTAATTTGGTGGGCAAGTACTGGGATGTCAGCGTTGGAGAGTTCAGAGATGTCGTGTGGCTTCACACTCCAGAAAATCCAAAATATTGAACTGGGTAGTTAACTGGGCAGTTAAATACTTAACTGTGTGTGACTGATGGGTGGGTCTTCTGGAAGTATGGGTGGTGTGGGTTGGGGTCATCCACTGGCAATTTTTCTTGACAAACCCGGACATTTACATTTGGAAATAGATAGGGTTAGTGATGCCTTTGTGAATACTCAGGATAAAGACTGTCTGGAATCTGGTGGCAGGTTAAATCCATGTGTGAGAAGAGGCTTACTTTTTAGCATTCACTTCATCTCTCCCTCTGCTGTCCCCAAGCAACTATTGTCATTGCCTTGGAGAAGAGGGAGGGGTTTGGGAAGGGGTTTTCACTGAGGATGTCGTTGATTGTTGATTTCATTTTTCGGAATCTAACTAAGAATTTCATTATTCCTCTGTGGAACTGAAATCTGATTTATGCAGAAAGGTGTATTTCTGAAACGAAGCACAGTTTTCTCTCCACTTTGACCATTATTGTAACATTAAATTTACTTGTCATAAAAGTGGCCAGTCATTTTCTGTAGACACAGTAAGGGACTGAACGCATAATGCACATTTCTCTAACCTGTGACTTTCGATGTCCTCAAATCAGATAAGGCAGCTTTTCTCAAGGGCACCATGTCCCAGACTACAATACAGCCCCAAGCAGTCTGGTTTTGGGTCACATGACCCCTGAGAGTCCCTGGTGGGGGGAGATGTTGTGGCTGGAGGGGGATGATTGCCTGCCCAATCCTTTGAGTCCCCTGGCAGGACGCATGAGAGCTGTCAGAGAAACACAGACTAGAAATGGAGAAAAAACACATGTAAAGATTGTAGAAAATCTCCACTAATTTTTATTAAATACAGATCGGATAGAAATTTTGTACCCTGTTATAAGACTCTAGAGATGTGTGTTTCTCACTCAGCCACTGCATTTCCAGCCCATTTCATTTACTGGGCCAGATGCTTGAACAGCTCCGTGTAGGAACAAACCAAAAGTAAGAAGGCCGAACACTGTTAGACCCCAAAGGAACCCTTCGTTTTCATTAAAATTTCAGCTCCTCGTGAAAGAAAATACTGGAAGTGCCAGTGTTTGGATTTCATTTCAAGATGCTTCTCATTACTAATGCTGAAATTGTACCTTCATTTGTAAGATAAGCAGCCAGGCTCCTAATCAAAATTGACATGCAAGGTCAACCCTATAGCTATTGTTTTAGAGAAGGTCTTACTCTCAGTAGTTCCTAGACCCTTACCAGCCCATTTCACTTTTTTTCCAATCCTCAAAAGCTTTTCTTGAAAGTGGCCGTGCTCTCTGCTCTTTCTCCTTGGGCCTATGGCAGAGAGTAGGCCCTGCTGCTAGAGGCCTCCAGGAAAGGGTGAGAAATGAGCTGCTCCCTGGTCTTGAACTTGGGAGGCCCTGAATTTGGAGGATGGGTGTGTATCTGGCTTCTTTGGGGAAGATGATCTAATGGCAGCATGCTACTCCAAGTCTTGGGTAGTAGGACCTGAAAAATAACGGCACATTACATGAGCAAAGTGTGTGCTCCTGCTCAAATGGAACGATGATGCGGGCCCCCTGTGGGCATTCTTGTCTTTGGGCTGGTTAGGAGGCAGCAGCAGCCTCTGATTGAGTGCTCTTCGTTTAATTACTGGGAAAGAGAATGGGATTACCAGGATTTAATTAATCTAACCATCCGGAATGAGATGAAGCTTGGAAAATAATCATCACGAGTATTCTATGTTCCATGACTCATTTTATTTCCTATTGATGATTATAATCAAATTTTCTTAATGATAAATAATGTCATCAGGAGTGTCTTCGTGCCATTTAATTTTGTATATTTCTGTACTGGTTTCAGTGGCCTACTTGGAGTAGAATTCCCACCTCAAAGGAGTGTGATGGATGCTTTGTTCCACTGAAAATTCTAATTTGAAGAATATGTGAAGTGAACACCTCTGTATCTACTTACCTTTCCTCCTCCCCTTCCCTCCTCTTTATATATTTATCAATAGAGTTTATTCAGCTTTGCCCATGGGGCTATGTTGCAGTAGCTTCATCTGATTTCCTTTAGGATGTATAGGTCTGGTTTTAAAAAAAGATTAACTTTGATTTATGGAACAAGCATTTATTAGCTCTCTGCTGAATATTGCTAATTAAATTGCAGAGAATGTATTTCCTTTACCCTGCCTCCTTACCTCCATTCTTCCTTCTGCCTCTTGTTACGGAAAAGTCAGTAGAAAAATC